GATGGCTAGCAGCCAGATAAGCTGCCTCTACTCTCTCTCTCTCTCTCTGAGTCTCTCTCCCAAGGCTGTGTGAAAGAAATGTGCCATTATCCAGCGAGGCCCCTACAGCCGGGCCCCTGGGCACAGAACTGCTGTCCAAGACAACATGCAAAGGCCAGGAGACTGGAGACTGGGAGCTGGAGACTAGAGAGCTTTAGATACCTCCTCAGACTGTTTACGACCACCTGTACCACAGCCAAAAGCTTCTCCTGCCTCACTACCCTTTCCTCACTACTTCTTTCTTTCCAGTTGGTCATTGCCAGTGAGTGAAATGTCTGCAAATACATGGACTGCGAAGACATTCCTGGGTTACAACTCTAGAAAAATTAATCTCTAGGAAATTGAATATAGAAATTGATAGAGATGATACAAAATTGCAACAGTCAACATGATTGATGGTAATGCAGCCTACCTAGCGGTTAAAAATCATAGCCACAGCCATTTGTTACAACATGTAACTGTGCTCAGATTGTTGTCATGCTCCGGATAAGAGCATTAGCTAAATGCCAAAAACATAAATTAAAATTCAATCTAGATAACTCATCACATAAAACCTCATCATACAGTCAGCAATAGAATCTGTTTACTTACATATTTCCCTCAGGAACCTTGATTTGAGTCACTTATCCTGGTCAGAGCTCAGGTGGCAGTGTGTGATGAACAGAGATAATGTCCTTTCCTCCCCAACAACCTCCTCCTCCTCCTCCTCCTCATCCTCCTCCGAGATGACCATGTTCTTCCGGGACAGCAAGGAGATGCAAATCTTACATCGTGTCCTGAGCCTGTAGTGGAGTCTTCATGAAGGCTGCAGTGATTGTCCCTAAATGATCAGGAGGAGCTCATCTGGGCACAACTCGACATTAGACATTTTCCTTATGGACTCAACACGTACAACGCAAATTAATCATTTGATCAGAATTTAACTATTTGTAGTCATCACTATGGTGAAGCTAAGATGACCTTACTTGTAACTAATGGTTATGGAACTGTACCTGTAACAAAGAACAAGCTCCTGAATATGGAGCACACCTTTTTGTGAACTATATAAATAAGACATTGAGATGATAATAGTATATATAATAATATAGGATATATGATAATAATAAACATTTGCAAATAGAATAAAAAAGGTCATTATAATGAGATAAAACTTCTTAATAAATAAGATCTTAATAAAGTCCAACTTTATAGAATATCAGACAGTAGAGATCCAGTCTCTAACCCTGGGGAATTAGCCAGTAGCCTCCAATGTGCCGGGCCACGTTGCCCCCGAGGAACCACCACTGCAGCACTACATGTATCTCAAGGGTACAATGTTAACTGACTCATCAGGTGCGATGAGGATTATGATGATGACGTCATCATCCTAATCGCCAGACTCCTCATCCTCATCGGCCACTGTCTCCATCTCCGTCTCCCACAGCTGAGTTCAAGAGGTGACGGTATATTTGTGACCAACCAACTGCTGCTGTGGAAAGTGAAAGGAGGCGTTTTAAAATTAGTCACAGGTGCAGGGTCATTCTATCATCCGTGACTGTAAAAGCAAAAACTTGTGGGCTGGAGAAAATGAAATGTTAAAATAAATGCTCTCTGTGAATTAATTATAGATGGTAAAAGTCTGTATGACAACACTGTGACATAAACATGTATACCTTCACAAAGAACTCAAAATGGAACTGTTAAAATGTGTTAGATCAATAGTAGCTGCCTTATTGAAATGCAGCCTATGTGACTCACTCACTAGGAATCGCTTCATAGCAGAAATGCTAAAACTCTGATCATAAAACAATTCCCTCAGCACATAAGGGTTAAAGCAGACTATTCCTTGCATTTGCGTCTTCTGGGCTTAATTATAAAATAATATATTCATACTATTATTTCAAATTACACAAGGCCGTGACACTGGCTGATGAACCTGCATTAGTAATACGGGTAGGTGTGAGTGTGTGCATGTTTGCGTGTGGAGTAGAGAGGGGGTTAATTAATATGCCTCTTTGCAGAAGCAATGCTTTTGGCTATGGAGCAGGAAGACTAGCTGCTGTCTATTATAGGAAGAGAAAAACAACAGAGACTAGCTGCTCATTTCTGGAGGCATTTTAATTGCTAGAATACAGCGCCAAGCTAAAAATGTCTCCGCTGGCCTCCAGCATGAGAAAGTAAGAGAAGTTGCTCTCTGTAACACCTCTGAATCAGTATCTGCAGAGTACTGTTAATTGTCAAAACACTCTGAAATACATGGCACGTACGCAGGGTGACTTTTACTGTCATAAAAGTTCATGCAGAAGGAAATCTGCCTCTGACACTGTGCACATCTGTGTTCGATTCTCTCCCTCACTCAAATCGTCACATGAACACAGAAGAAATGGCTACACCGTGGGTTTCAGACCACTCAGCCCAGCCTCTCATGTAAAATCACCAAACTGTGATTCCACTTACATTCTCCTGCCCCTTTATTTAATCAGTGCAAGTATGTCCTACAGAGACTCAGAAGCACCAGTAGTTTTTTTTTATGCAGCAGTACAGTGGGTGTGTGACTATGGAGAACCAAGTGACTTTCTCAGAGGCAGTCTCCCCCTTCAAGTGCTGAAAATGGGATGTAAACAGTTCCAGCTTGACAGAGACCACAAAATAATAAATTTAAACTTAACACAAGTTGAAGAACAAGACCATGTCTGTGTTGCCCATTTATCCACTTCTAATCCTGTAAACCAGTTCAGTACTCTTTCATGTCTTTGTGAAATTTTACACCACTTCGCCTTAATTCCCCTTTCTTTCTTCTGTCTCCTCTACACCCACCTTTATTCTAAATTCAATTTAATCTCAATCAATTATTGGGCAATTTCCTATGTGAGGCACTCTCTTATTCTACATTACAGTAAGGCAAAGGAAAAACAAAGGAGTCATCTATCCTACATTAGGGGTGCTGAATTGGGGAGAAAATTGGAACGTGCCAGAGGTTACAAATATTCATTGTTTCAGGATCCAAAGTCAACTTTTCTAAGTTGAGATATTAAAGATCCCATTATTTCGTGCAGCAACTCTGCCCCATATTCTTTCTTCGCTAGTGTTTCTGGTCCCTGAAATTCCACCTTGAAATGATGTGGCTGTCGGCCACAGGGACACTGACCAAAGTGGGCTGAACGGTCGAGTGTACAACATCCAGAATCGTCTACCGCAGCATCAAAAATACTGGCGACTGTGCCTTTTCTGTCACGCTCTCCTGCTTCCAATGCTGAGGTTTTCCCAAAACCGTTCATCTCAAGAGCCACTTCTCACCAGGCTCCCGGTCATTCACAGAATTCCATCCCTGTGGACCGGACCATTCATGATTTGTGATGGTCCCTAAGGGAGGATCTATTTGCTGTGTTTGTGTTCACACTTTCGTCAGCAGCCTTTCATGTAATAAGAGACTACTATCCAACAATATTTCATAATATTGTTATTCGAAAGTTCCGCCTTGATTCATATCATGCTGATGGTTTGGTGTCCAGATATGAAAATAAAGTAAAGCTATAGGAATCCAGCTATCTGCTGCAGGTAGAATACTATCTATATCATCTGCCTCATTAACCCCTTAGGCAGATAGTAGATGTATGTGTTAGGTAATGCTTTTCAGATAGATAGTGTGTTACTTTTTACAACCACATGCAGATATGCTGTTTAGCAAGTTCACAAATGTCCTGGTTACCATAGAGACCACATCTCATAATGTAACAAGGTACATTTACCATAAGGTCTTATGGATAATATATTCAGTAAGGGTATAAAGCATCTCTGGAGAAATGAATGACACAGCTGTGAACTCACATATTGCAAATCTGAATAAGACCTGAATAAGAAGCTAAATTGCTAAATAGTCATGTAAATAAAATACCTTAATGTTTTCCATTCCCAGTTGTTTTGATACCATGTTAAAAAAAAAATAGTCCCATGCACACAGCTTTCCCAACATGCGAGTGAGTAATATTGTTTTAAATGAGGGATGACAGTGGTTTACAATACCGCTGCCAACAAAACATCTACCAATGTCCCTGTACGTCCAGTGTTTTTTTTTGTCAAAAATATATGTGTTTATTTTTGTGGAGCGCTCCATTCTCCATCCTGGATGCACTGAGGCAGCATGGGAGCCTTGATGAATCCCTCCTGAATCTGTCCATTGCCATACAATATCACCTCCTCAAATCCAAATGAGATAAACCCACTGAGTAAAGGATTTCCTTTTTAAATGATGTATCATGCTTTACCTGACCACCATTTTCTTTCTAACAGAGAATAAACAGAACAGGGTCACTTGCCATTTGCAAACAAACAATGAAAATGTTGGGGAACTTTGTTTTTATATGGAAACTGTAACTGCAGAAATAATAGTGGAGAAACTAAAGGGTCAATACAACCAAATATGAGAAAAATGTGTGTGTTCTGTGGATCACCCAGAGTAACACAGACACTGTTTCTGGAAAGTAATTTTACTGAGGAATTTTTGTATGTTTTGATCACCACAAACTAAATTCCTCTCACTTGTGTGCTTACTGGGGTGGATGCAGTAATTCCAAAGATGCATATCTTAAAATCGGGCCAATAAAGCAAGAACCTTTTGCATTGCAAAACAGCACTTGAGATAAGTGAGAACATCTATTTTTTTTTTTTCTGTACTTGGGTTTCTGCCATTGTGGTGGATCCACTATGAATTATACCATTTCCACACAAAGATTATGGCATGAAACCAACGGTGCCTTACGCGCATTGTTACGAAACTCATTTGAAGTGTGTCGACCTTTTTACCTTAGATGAAGAATTTTTAATCATTCTGATGAAAAAATGCTGGCAATCACAACTACAGTGTGCTTGCCAAGAACATCTTGAAATTTTGCTGCTGCAATAATGTAGTTTATTATATTTAATGTCAAAGATTTCATTATCTGTGACCCAAAAGGGGTAAAATTCCTTTTTGCAGACACGTGTTTACCATCACCACCCATCAAGTACTGTAGATATGAACTATATTAAGGTTCAAAATCTTGGCATCAACAGTTTAGAAGGCGTACTGTGATGGTCATAAAATCAGTGATTTAAATGAATATATATTAAAACAAAACAATATAACTGAATGCAGATTATATCTTTATTTAAAATTCTCTGATTTAGAGACTATAGATATAATCTATGAACAAAAGCAAACACAACATTAACCATAGCTACAAGTTGACCAGTGCCCATTCTAAAGCACTAATCCAGTAAAGCATGAAAACACATGAAGCCACATTACCAGCTGAGAAGCTTGGTTTCCACATAACTAGAGGGGAATCAAGTGCCATGACGTTTCTACATCCTCATTCTCATTTGGGCGATTAGTCTGGCTGCAGTAACGCACAGATGATTTAGATGTAGGGAGCAGGAGGGGGGGGGCAGGCATGGCACGGCACTTCACTGCAACCAGATCCAGCTGTTTCTTGTTGTAAATCTGTGTTTTAAATGTGTAGAAGTCCCCAGGGACCAAGGTTCACCATGGAATACCCCCACACCCCTACTCCTAACCCTCTCCCTAGACCCAGCTCTGCTCCAGGGCCTCACAATCACTACCAGGTGAGATTCTCTCTCTGTCTTCCTGCTTCCCCCCTATCAAGTTTGAGGTCCATCTGATCTGTTGTCAGTCCTCCAGGGGTCTACATGCTGTACAAGAACTGTACAGGAGACCTTATTCACAAATTAACCCCATCTATCAACACAGGAAGGGGAAAAGGAACATAGACTACTCTTTGAAGTGGGAATGAAGCTTACTAGCTTCAAAAACAAAGTTGGGTATGTAACCTTTTATCATTACAACAGCCCTTTAAAAGCCCTGCCAAGGCATCTGGCTTATGTTTGGACCTGGAATTGGATCCGTTTGTGTGGCAACTCAAACAGGCACCAGTCTGTGAAGGCACAGGCCAAAGCACACTGTACAGGTGAAATTAAAACTTACCTACATGTGAAAAAACAAACAAACAAGTATATATATATATATGTACACATCCTTCACAGAACATGAAACGTGTCTCATAGTATTAGTAGATAGTACATAGTACAGTATTTGTGGCTCATAGTGGCAAGCAGGGGTGATTGCACAAAAACCTTAACAGCGCTGGCAATTCCAACCATATTAGAGTTAATACACAACTTCTTGTACTTAAAATAAATTAAACACCATTTTCAAAATGGTTGTCTCATCCTTCTTTGATTACTATTATTTAAGAAATAAAAAAACAGACACAATAAGACAGAAAACAAACAAACAAAAAAACAAAAAAGAAAAGAAAACAGAAAAAAAACAATAAACAAAACACAAAACAAACAAAAAAACAGAGGCCAAATTTCTTAATATTTGATTGGCGGTATAGTATTATGTAGTGGTATGACACATGAAGTCCAACAGAAATTAAAGTTATCTGCATCAATGGTTTCTACTTCTGCAGTCCATTACACACAGGGGAAACATGAACCAATCACAAACTCCACAATTAAATTTATACATTTTTGAAAAAGCATCACTAGTGTTGAAGGTGAATCTGACTCTCTCTGGATAGGTCAGACACTTATCTGGACCTGGGCAGTGATACAGCACAGCAGTCACTAAAGGATAGAATAACTGCTGGGAGATGAAATCTCTGGTAGGCTACTAGTGAATCAGGCTTGGTCTAAATAGTGAGTCATGAGGAAGGACAAACCTGAATAGTCACTTAAAAAACATCTTACTGTTTGTATTGGTATTGTTAGGATACCCAGACCTTTGTTTGTGTGGCAGTTAGGAGACGTGGCAGGAATGTATTGCGAGCTAAGTTCAGATCAAAGGATTATCTCTGAATGCTGCTTATAGTGTGGAATGTTGGTCAGGTTGATATACATCTCCTTTCAAAGCAGCTTTGGGATGGCCTGCAGCTGACATTTTTAGCCTGTGAGCCTTGATATATGAAAAGAAATTAGCTCATCTACTGTGAACTGACTTCCATTTCAACAATTTGTTATTATTTGCAGCAGTTTTCTAATGTGTAACCAGCTTAAGGTGCACTAACAATGGACTAAATTAAACTCTGTATATGGAAATTAAAAACATACAAAACACATTAAAGCTCCATTAAGCGATACATTTGATAGTATTGTAAAAAGAGAAGACGACTACTGCTAATCTCTCTGTGAATCAACACCCAGATCTTCCAATCCCTGATCACTACATTTTTCAGGCACTTCCAGATTGTTGTTTTGGTTCACCAAAATCCAACAGCTCTTACTGACACATTACATAAAACTGTGGGCAGCTGTTCCTAGCTAGCTACTTCCAGCAATGCGGTGAGATTAATTTAACACGTGCCTGATAAAGTAAGTGAAACTTCAAACAAGCCAAAGAGAGCAAGTTGGTTGGCTAATATGGGCATAAACAGAGTGAACATCAGACTTACATTCATCAGAGGGCCAGAAAAGGACTGTAATTGGCACGCCCATGCTTCTCTGCTACTGCTGTGTCACTTGTTTGCTAAAACATTAGCCACAGACACTTAATAAGGCAACAGGTATATCACACTTTTGCTGCTGTAGGCTTGGAGTTTTTCGCTCAATGCAGCTTTAAGCAAATACACTTTAACATCAACAACGATGTCTTAAAAACAATATGCTCCTCTCTCTCTTACAGGAGAAAAGGAGGTCATCATGGTGTCCTTGAGAGGGGGCTCAGAGACCCTGCAATGGGATGCAGCCCCCTCAGTCAGTCCAGTGGTTGGGGAGCAGGTGGGGGATGAGTGGTTTGCACAAAGGGAGGGAGCTGGGGGCTTGGAGGCTGCAAGCTACAGACTACATGCCTAACTCCCTACTCCTTTCAAAAAGAAATACATATAAGGGCTGGTCTGCAACCAGCCCTTATATAGACACTCCAAAATTTTACATTTCATAGAATGTCTCACATGGCATCAGGAGCCTGCAGTAAGCAGCCTACAGAGTCCGCAGGTGACTCAGGTTATTCCCTAAACTAAACACTGTCAACTGCACAATCAAGGTTGAAGCCCCTGGATTGGACCCTATCACACAGGTTTGGGGTCTGCAGGCTGCAGCCTTTGTTCCCCAGCGTCAGTCCCACTATCACACAGGGCCAGGACTGTGGTGATAGTTGTAATGGTTGGTGTGATCGGAATCTGCGATCTGCAGGCTGGGTTTCCTCTCTGGCTCATCGCTATCAGCCGTGTCTTGGCTAGTGCAACGTGCAGGACGCTTCTTAAAGAAGTCCGACACAAAGCGCACCTGCAGGAGAGAGGAGAAGAGAGGATAGTTTTGGTCACCTAGGGGATATTTTTCCCCACAGAGATTGGAGAGTCAAGCATGTGAGGGATACAGAGGAGGTAAGGGCAGGGCTGGAAACTGTGATTAAATATGTCTGGACAGGTCTGTGCACAGCTGTTAAGTGACACACTAACACTTACACACTCATGCACATCTGAGAGGAACACACAGAAAGCAGGCACAACCCCTATAGGCCATAAAACACTATGCCCAGGAGGGTCTCTAATTGCACACAGCACTGTGAAGGCCAAAGTGCGGGCTCACTTCCCAATTAATCATACATGGAAACACACACACACACACACACACACACACACACACACACACACACACACACACACACACACACACACACACTCTACCATTCCAGAATTTCCACAAGGCGGTGCTGACAGTGGTTCAATCAAAACAGGGAAGTGGCCAAACAATAAAGAAGCCCAGCTGGATGGAGTGGGGAGAATGGACTTATTGCCTGAGAACCTGCCAGTGTAAGTGTGTGGGTTTGTGTCAAGTCACACGCTGTTGCTGTCACACTCCCTTCATACTTCCTGTCCATACATATTTTTCCTGTGAAAATGACATAAAGCTGAAATATGGATTCATCAGCATCTGTTCTGCTTTGAAGCTGAGTAGCATTAACCGTAAGATCTCCATTAAATGTGATTCTTATGATCCGGACAGTCCCACCCATGTTTAATTTTCCTAAAGCCTGAAACCACAGGAGTTAGACTCAAAGTTAAAATGTCAACAGGTATAAGGCTGGAAAGGCTTCACAGAGAATGACGTGCATTATTTCTAAAAATAAGAGTTAAATGTTTTGAATAAAAGCTGATGATAAACACTTTTTTTTATTTTTATCTGTATGAGATAAATGCTTATGTAAATTGCCAAAAAATGTTTAGAGCTGCTCAGGACAAGACACCAGATCATAGAAGCATCATTTGGGGGAAGTGCTGACTCTCCTAATATCATGGAAGTATCACGTAGAAGCTCTCAAATTCTGCAGTGCTTTTCTTGAATGATGTTGTCTTGGAGACTCACGTTGAGTACAGCAACAAGCGCTCCCTGCAGCAGCCCCACCAACACGTCGCTCCAGTGGTGCTTGTAATCAGAGACTCGGGTGTAACCCACATACACCGCGAAGGCCACCAGGAAGAACTGGATGGTGGGCCGGAGAAGTCTGGCCCACTTAGCCACGAGTCTCGCCTGCACGTAAAGCTGGAGTGGGGATCAGAGAGGAAGAAGAGCAGGGGGTGGTAGATTGTTTGGGGATGAGGGGAAAGAGAAGAAAGAAAAAGAAAGAAAAGAGAGAGTTCAGGATCTATTTGCAGTGACATAAACAGTGATATAGCCTGATGAAGCAGTCAAATTTATATTTTGCAGTCTCTATAATTGCTTAAATACATAGTCTGCTGTACTATCTTCTATCTGTCTGCTGTATTGTCAGTTTTCACTCCAGACACCGATAATAAAAGCCTATTTATTTAGAGCATCAGTTTGTGTCTCCCTAATGCAGAAACAGTGGCTGGTATGCCTCAAATTGGATTGAAGTGTGAAAAGGTGCTGAGTATTAGCCGAGTCTTATTTATGTCCACTCTGGACTGAAACCCTAGTTTTTTTACTGGTAAGCAGCAGACGCCAAGAAATTATGAACCTGGCAACAGTACAGACTTCTCTGGGCTTCTGCTAGGTTACTGTCGAAGGTGCAACATTTGGCATCACACAACAGTCCCCCTGCCACACTCTCCACTGAACACTGCAGGAGAATTTTTCAGAAACACATGACTCAGGCTGGATATCACAGCTTAGCTCTGTTTGTTTTCAGTATTTGCCTGGCAAAACAGAGAGTGCAGACTGAACCACTGACAGGAACTGGACACTAGCTGGAGAGATTCTGTTTTCTCTTTGAAATTCTATTTTCTTTGAGCTGAACAATGTTGCTTTGCTTGGCCTCTTGAAACTTGCTGTCTAGCACTGGTGCCTGGCTTTTAACAGAAAGAGATGGGGCCAAGGGTAATGAACTGGATAGACCTGGAAGACAGAACACAGCACATGCTTCGCCTTCATCATTGCTGGGAAAAAGGCAGCAGAGGCCTCCAGATTATTCCTCTCACATATCCACCTTCTTCCTCTGAACTCTTGCCTTGTCCTTTTTGTGTCCACAGGCACAAAGTGGCTTTACGATCCTTTTCATCTTCTCAAAAATTAGCCCGGAGTACAGGTTCAAATGCAAAAGCCTGTTTCTCAGCTGAGCCCCTCTGGGGAATGTTATGCCTGATTCACAGTGAGATATTCCCATATTTACTGTACACAGATATGCATATTTACATTGTGTTTTAGGTCTTTTAGTGATGGATTGAGGCTCATGTGCTGCACTTACTGCGAGGAAGAGCATGCAGTACATTCCAAAAGAGGAGTGACCAGAGTAGAAGGACAATCTGGAAAAGACAGAGAATCAAATGTAACTTTACATTTTACACTGAGGCATCTCATTTGCATCATGTGGATTCAATTCCCCAAACAGTATTAAACAATGTCTCACTTTCTCTTTCTTCTGGCATGTTGGTTAATAAGTGTCCTAATTAATATCAGTTTCATTGTTTTTTTTTTTTTTTAATTTAAACATATTTTCTTCTCTAAGCACAATGTTCCAAATATAATACCCTGTTCTTCTCCTCTTACCTGGACTCTGTGACGTCTTGTGCGTTGCCAGTGCAGTTGATCACCTGCATGTATCCCATGCAGATCTTAGGGGTACATACAGCCATGAAGTTAGGCCTCGGGCGGCCGATAGTGTACTTGGCAAGGTCGGTCAGCGACTGGCTGACAGATGCTCCAAACAAGAAGGTGCCCACTACCTTGTAGAGTGCAGCTACATACTGGTTGAAGTCTGAATTAGAGTAAATCCTCTTGCTGTAAACCAGATAAGCCTCTCCAGAGGAGATCTGAGGGAAGAAGAAGAACAGCGAGGGTTTGTTTTTCGTCCTTATACATCAACACTTTGCCCAGTTCCTAAAAGCCATTTAGTAATGGAGCAAATAGCACAGGATGTTGTTAAATGAGTGAAATCCAGTAAAATTTCCTTGATTTTGGCTTTACTGAGGTGAAAAGGAATAAAACTCCAATTGAGCAGAGAGGGGAGATTGATGTTCTTTGTAAAACTTACAATGATGACAGTGCAGGAGATGGTGACGGCTGCCAGCATGCCATGAGTGATGGTGTCTGGCTTTAGAGGGTACATGATGCTCTCATCGTCACAGTAAACACCTCTTTGATATGGCTTGTACACGATGGTCATAATGATGAAGGGCAGTGCCGCTGAAATGAAATAACAGAATGGGTTGGATCATAAATGAAGCGAAGTGAATTTTCACTATATTTGGAGAAACAATGCTTTTGGGGTTTATGTGTAATATCTGAAGCTTGGTCATTGCCAAGAAACTGGATTATCCAAGTTAATGGACTTAGATATTTGAGAAAAAAATGTTTGGAATAACATCTGTCTCTTTTTCTACAGGTTTTCAGACATTACATCAGTTCCTAAGTTGGGAAGTGAAAATGTTTCTCTAACATTTACAGATAGCTAAATTGTTTTCTCTCTCCCTCCGGACCTCAAGGTCTAAAATCACAATGATGAAACAACCCACAAGGAGAAAGAAAACATTTGGTAGTTAAATGTCAGGGCAGAAATGCACAGCAAGGAATTACCAAAATACACAGTGGAACATAGTATTTATATACACCGGCATGCACGGGCATATGTGAAGTTACACATCACACACGCGCCCAGTAGACACAGGACTGTACAAACACTTACACGGTACACAAATTAATGCAGACACAACACACACAACTCTTTTGGATGATGTGGCTGTGTGCAAAAATGAGACCAAATATAGCTGCTTAAGGCTTCTGAAAGCACGAATGGTGTCCTTGAGACGTTCAAAACATCTGTGCCAAAAATACTCACTCACTCTCTTCCTCTGTCTCTCTCTCTTGTACAGACAAACTCCCTTCACTCGTGTGTGTGTGTATGTAGTAAAACTTAAGTACATTCAGAAATAGGTATAACACAGGCTAATGAATGCATTTTGAAGACAATCTCTTGCTCATCCCTTTTGAAAACATATATTACCTACTGGCTATAAACAGACAGCAGAGAAGTGGAATATGTTGCGAGAGAGGTTTGAGAAGTCACATTGGGCATTTTGATATTTCTTTTCCACTGGAATCTATTCTAACTTCTGTAGTCCAAACTGACCTAGCCTCTAAGTTTTTACTTCCCCTCTTCAAGGCTATAGTGGGGCGTGTTTCATAATAAAGAGATTTGGGCTGGACTATGACTCTAGGCAGACACAGGATGTGGGAGAAAAACCTAATTTGCACAGCTGCAAAGCCGGAGGTGATTCTTCCAACCTTAGGCCTTAGTAAAAGTGGAGCACTGACAAAATAATTAGTTAATCAATAAATTATCCAATTTAGGCTGTAACTAATGGTTATTGCCATTACCTATTAATCTGACAATTACCCACATATATTCATTTTACTATCACAGATGACTTAGAGAAATGACAAATACTTACATTTAAGCAAGTCAAAGCAAGTCATTTCCAGCAGTTTTGCTTAAAAATTAATCAAAGGATTAACTGATGATTTAAATAGTTGCAACTCATTTTCTGTCAGTCAGGCAACTGTACTATCAGCTGACTAATCATTTCACCTCTAATCCAATTATTCAGTGGACACAAATCATTTTGGTAATGGAGCAGTCATTCTGGTCAAGTCAGAATGTGAAACATTTATTGGTTTCAGCTTCACAAATGTAGGATTTAGTAGCTTTTCTCCATTAGGCTACATATCACTGTAAATTCTTACTTTTGTGGCATCAGTGACTCTCAGAAAACAAAAACATCTTAGACAAAAATGTGGGCTCTGGGAGCCTGGTTGTGACAGATATTTAGCCCATCTTTATTGTATACTTAAAATTAGGCTAGTAAATAATTAACGGTTGAATTGATGAAAAATTATTATGAGTTGTAGCTCTAGTGAGGAATTTATTCTCCACCCTGACATCCACCACCACCATAGCAGACAGACTGGGCGCGTGTCCATATGCGCGTGGGTTTTGTGTCTATGGCAACAATATCTTGACAGAATATTACTACTGCCATAGAGTTGGACCATTTGGTTTTTCTGTCTCTTTTGTGGTGGTTTCTATACGACATGTTGTAAAGTTCCCCATAAACAGCCAAGACTAACTTCTCCTCCATTTTCTTGGTTGCCAAGGTGACGAGTCTAGCCCCATCTGATAGACTGCCCTAAAAGGAGTTACAGGTACGACATCAGCGTCTTTCTGAAAAGTTCAGAGATTTTCAACTAGAAGCGCTCTGAGCAGCCGCACTAAAAAACGCGGAGCGCTCAGAAAAAAACGCTATATCGGCACACGCCCTTGGGGGCACTATGGAAATGCCATACAGCCCCATACTAAATGCAAGAAAAACAGTAGTGGAAAAGCACTGCGCTCACCAATAGTATTACATTTCTGTGTACATGAGCAGTGCACCCCTCCCATTCTTTCAAAAAATGTGTGCAGCTGACATAATTCCAGGAGGACTTCCAGCGAGACTGACTGATGAGAGACCAAGAGTCCACATATACTGAAGACTGAGACTGAGGGAAAATATACAACTGGATGGTGGATCAAGATTCAGCTGAGGTGAACAGTCTGTAACACCGGGTTTAACTCCACCCAGAAACCTCTCATGATGGATATGGAACAACAGCCTACTGTAAATGTATGAATAGAGTCAAATACTTACAGCATTTTTCAATGAATAATAAAGGTTTGAAACACTAGGACAGAGCAGATTGTTCAAAAAAATGTATGACATGTTAATCCTTTAAATTTTGACAGTGTTTTGATATGGGACACTGAAAGAGAGAATGAAACCCAGTTTTTCCAGGTCCAATAGGTTTGTAATAAACCACTAATTAAGAAATCAAGCCAAGAAATTCCCCTAATAAAAACTGTGATTCACAATAAACAATACACCATCACACCTTTACAATGCCATACAGTGTCTTGCTCTCGTCTGACATTGCATATATCCAATGAGATGAGCACAGACATTGTTTAGTGACATGCCAACTGCACACATGTGTCTCACAGACACTGTAGAGACAAAGAGTCTCATTGGCTCAGTGGGGGAAGTGCAGCTGCAAAACAGAAGCTTTGTGTTTTTTTTAGAAGAGAATACACAATAGCGTTCATTAGGATAAACACATCATCGCACATGGACACCTCGTAACCCGACCTTGGAAGAGCTGGGTTTAGACTGCACAAACAAAGAAATACCAATTCATTTCAACATGGTGTCTAATACACAAAAAGCTCCAATCTTCTTACAACATTTAAAAAGGGGAGGGATCACTACCCAAATGCAATATTTCAGCACTGAATGTTTTAGTAAAACTTAGAAGATGTGGGCTGCTGACAGGTTTCGACACTTCTGAGTTATGCACAAAACAAAAATGAAAGGTGAAATGCTAAATGTCAACATCAGCTATCAAACGCTGTTCAGACTTCAAAATGTTACTCTCCAGCATTAGGCAAAGTTATTATAGAATGGCTCGAGGGGATTTATTAAGTTTATATTTTATATTAATGGTTACCCTTTGCTGTTGTGGATGTGCAAAGTTTCATGTTGTAACTTGCAACAGCAGCTGCCTGGCACCTGTCCCTCCATGGTAGCTAACCACCAGATGCCCACTGAATCCCTGTTTACACGTCTAGCAGCCATGTCAGGACATGGTGAACCAGGGTATAAGGTCTTATTCCGTATATTTTCCTCTTAGCACCACCAGAATCCAGTTTGTGAAAACCACAGCACTATATAGGGTCTCTTGTATTTAACTGACATCCTCTCTCAGGCGCCTCAGGGGAGCACCCTGATACGGATTTACTGATGTGGCTTTTGGGGTGGCAGCTTCAGCATCTGTATCCTGCATCCTGCTTCCAGCTGTCAAGAACAGAGCAGTGTGTCAAGAAACCACTGCTGCTGGTTTTAGCATTCCTGACAAATGGTTGCGTTCAGAGTTTCATTACAGGAGATATTATTGTGACAAATACTTCAAGGTTCTGATATATTCTCTGAAGGACTGAATGTCTCTCTGCAATTGCTTGGTTTTAAAAATAGAACGAAGAAAGAAAAAGCCATGAAATTCACAATTCTCAGCAGTTTCTTTCAACGGTATCTAGTATGGAGACAACTGAAATTTACACAGCATGTCAAATACCTTAAAAACTATTTCAAAACAGAAGTCAGAAATGAAGACAAACTGTGTCCATCTTTGGGGTTTGGGGGTTGAATCCATGGTTTTCTGTCATGACAGCTGATGGAGACATGGTGGCATGACATCAGCCAATACCAACTGCAGCACGGAATATTTGCATTTAGCGCAACATGAAAAACACATTGGAAATGCAAACAGCAACAAAGGAAAGACTTGTTTGAGAGGATACTAACACATATAAATATTTAACATTATGTTTTAAAGGTTTGTGTAAGATTGGCCTGGACAAAATCTACGAGAATGTTGGTTTATTTAATACAGCATGGTAAATGTCACTTTGAACCAGCAGAAGGACATAATTGTTTCTATACTGGAGTCACATAGTATTGTAACTTCAAACTGTTTTATGAAGCTTTTAACACTTGCCAGAGTGGGGCCATTAATCACAGTGAAGTGGCAGAAAAATTAAGTGAAAAGCTTCAAAGAGAGACGCCACTGGCTAGTGGAATATACTTTCTCCCACTTAACATGCTCACGAACGGTTAAATTACTTTTTGCGACAGTGAATTCTCAAGTATTACGTGTATTCATCCATTTAGCCATATGCTAAAGGTTTTTTTCTTTTTTTACAGGTTTCTTTTTTTTTTTTAGCTCACTAAATCCTCATAACCAAACATGGATTTTGCCAGTTAGCCACACAGTTTACAGACTGAGTGAAGTCAGGGCACCTGGCCTTAAATAACCCTCCCCTGGCTTGTAAAAAAAAGGATGAATTTTTCATTTCTGTATTCATAAATGAAGCACTAATTCAGCTGACATCCGACTTTAACTTGTTGGCCGTAAATTACAAGTTTGGATGAAAATAAAAGTGCTCAAACGAAATGATGTAAAAAGTCTGGACTGTCGTCATGGGCAGAACGAGTGGTACATCCTGAGGTGTGTATGTGTGTGTGTGTCTTATGATCAGTGTTCCTGTGTATTATATCTTAAAGAAACAAACCAGCCACTCTCTTGGAAAGCAGACA